GAAACTGAAGGAAGCCCCCTCTACAAATGCCAACTTCGGATAAAGCCGTGGGACCGTGTGAATCGGAATAATCCCAAACAAATAACTCATTCCCCACACAAGCTCAACCACCTTTGGATTCTTGACATTACTCTCTGGGAAGGAGCCGTACAACCACCAAAGTCAATCCTTTCCCCCCCTTGCTTGCCTCCAACGGCACAGCTGACTATTTGGGGGGCCCAAACTTGTGTTCAACAAGGGAATCCTGAACTCCCTAATCATAAAGGCACCGTAATAATAAACAAATGTTACTCCAGGACCCTGAATACTAAATTAGAACTGACCTATTCTAAACCAACTCTAAACCAGACAAATGTCCCATCACGTCTAATCCCAGTGGTTGTTTGAATTTCTACTTCATAATGCATCCTGGATGCTGTTTTCCCCGTTGTTTCATTTCAATCGCACCCAGTTCTTGACTCCCCTAACCGGGGGCCCTCTACTCCCCCGTTTCTTAGAAGTAGGGATGCATCTAAACAGGACTTCCCAGAAGTATCTTTACCCAACCCTGCAGTGGACTTCCTTTGAGGAAGGTTGAGAGCTGCAAGCATGTCTCAAGCGAAATGGACACTCCTTCTTTCATGTCAAAAGCAAGCCAATATTAGACAAAAACCCATGGATATATTGGGCTCTACCGCCCTTCTTTAGGTTTTGGGGTTTGCCACCCTGCTCATAACACTTCTTGCTTGGGGCACCTTATCATCCGAGTTCTTGACCCCGATTGGCCAACGTTCAGGGCGCTGGTCGCTCTGAACTTACATTTCTAAACTCACAGACGGGTGTCTCAAAAGAATGGGTGTCTGTTTTAGGGACCCCCAGCAAATTGTGGCTGCCTTTTTGGCTTCCCTTTAAACCGCAACAAAAATGGTACCCTCAAAGAAAGGCACAAATAATATGTTATTCAGCTTCAAGCTGAAGGACCCCCTGAGACAAGATCCACGGACTCTGACTCTGAAGCAGTTGGGCCAGCCCCGTGTTTGAACATCTTCCGGCCGCAAGCAATTCTAGCCCAATTGCGTGTCCAAGCCACCCCCACCCAGCCCCCCTCACCCCTACCCTCCTAAAAGCAAGGACCCCCCCCCGATCTCCTGGTTCCGGACCGGGATCCAAACCTGGAGCAAGGCCGAAGTTGATGCAAAGGCCGAGGTTGATGCAAAGAAGACGCTAAACAACTTGCTCAGACCTTGTTTGAAGGAAATGGGCGGAAGGGGGTTAGGGGGGGGGTTGGATCCTATGATCCATGTAGTCAAACCCCAAAACCGGACTGACCGACAGGAATCAAGGGAAAGAACTCACTTGCAAGAGAACCTGGCTGCAACAGGTGCGCCTTCAAGTGAGGGAACGCCCCAAACACGGGTAGTTTCCCTTAGAATTGACTTTACAATAAAAAGAAAGTACCCAGCAAAAATCAAACCCGGAGAAAAAAACAGCAACAGATTCCGTGAAATACGCACGGATGATGGAAATGAAGGGGACGCAGTGATGTTCCCTGTATCGGCCAGTGGACATGGTAGCCAGTGGCACATTGGTCTGTAGGTTGAAGGGCAGGCTTCTGAGCAAAGTAAGTGCGGCATCATGTCAATTGACTTATTTCTCCCCAGTCCTACCGTTTTCGTGGTCTCTTCTCGCCTCGCAAACAGCTTGAAACCACCACTGCGCCTCTCTCTATCGCTCGACTGCAAGGCGCTTTGCGTCGGTCTGTCCGCATGTAGCTCGCCGCTTCCTTCTTAAGGCTCAGATTGTCTCCGATCAGCGTGCGCTTCTGCAGACACGGCCTGAACCGCTTGCCATCTGGGCGAAAAGCCAGCGCGCGAGTCCTAACAATGATGGGCCGCCTGTCACACCCGACCAGATGTGGTCCAATGCCTTCCAGGCAACGAACTCGTTGGACGGCCTCCAGTCTGCAGCCCTTGGAATCCACCGGGTCGCAAGACGAAAAGACCCGCCAAACTCTCGGGAACCGGTGACCCTGAAAACATCCATCCCCAAACCCAAGCTTTCTGCGGATGTGGTATTAACGCGAATTCAGGACATGGGCCATGGGAAAACACGGGAAAACACATCTACGGGGGAAATTAATCTTTCAACATTTACTCAACATGTTGGTTTCCTGTTACATCAGCCAGCCCCGCAAAAGTAAAACAGTTTCTTCGACACATGCATCCGCCATAAAGCCAAACACGCGGGAAAAATATGGGAACCCTGACATCCTGCACTGGCAAGCGAAAACATCGATGCCTTTGGGATGACCAGCGCGCAGCCTTCACCGGCCGGCTCCTGAGTTCGAAAGCACTGAGCAATGCCCCACACTGGGGCAATTTTAGCGGAAAACTCCCCGAGGGGGAAAACGGGGAACCGGACCACTGGAGGCCTGAGGGCGATGAGTTTCCAGCCAAAGTGCTCTATGTGTCCTTTTGATTCTCACACGGAAGGAACTCACAAAAGCGGGTGGCCCAAAAAAGTGATGGCTCTCGACCAAGAACCTATATCGACATGGCCCCAAAGGCTGACGTTGATAGCATCACACAAAAATGTGGGGACCGAGTAAGTTGCGTGGGTGCCTTTTACCCAGCACGGACCGTTGAAAGTTGGCGAGGGACAGCCTTGCCAGCATGGTTGATTTCGTCTGCTTCTAAAACGGCCATGAGTTGCTCGTTTGCTCAGCAAAGATGCCCAAAAGGCCTGATGGTCGACCCGTGCAGAGAAAGATAATGCAGAGGAAGCGCCAGGAACAGTGAAAGAGCCGTTGGGGGCCCGTTTTTGGCCCTTGGTCCTTCATCGCCCCGAAAGAGAACAAAACATACCGTCAGCAGTGTCACTCCTAGTCACTTGGCTGCAATGCCTCCCTTAGCCAGTCGGCTCATCGGAGTGAAGAAATCGACTTCACTCTGAGGCAGCGTGCCAAGGCGAAGGGCATGTCCTGGAAAGCCACCGATCCTGTGCGGATGCGCACGGGCGATTTCTTCCGCCACCTACGTCGCGCTGCTTGCCACGTAGGCAAACATTGGGTTCACAAATTCTTTGCAGGAAAGTACTGCTTCTAAAACATTTGACTCCAAGTGACATGAGCCCGAAATAAGCTTTGGTTCCCCATTGGAGCAACCGGGAATTGCTGCGCCACTGCCGCGCAACCGCCTTCCCAATGAACTAATTCGTCACGTGAAAAGGCTGAGGGATTCCCCGGAACCACAGCGGGGATGAGCCTGCTGCAAGTACTTAGGCCGTTAAGCACGAGGACGGTGGCAGCAGGGTCGTATTACGAAGCACTTAGACAGCAACACAGGACTTGCTTTGGCAAAGATTCCCTCGTCTGGCCTCTTACGAGTGCTAAATTGGAACCGACCCAAGTCATCACTAGCAGTCCCATCGGCTTTTTAGGCCAGCACCAATTGCTGGGTGGGAGCCCGCAAACTAAATGATGTTTTAACTGGGCACAAAATGTGTCCTTTAAAGCAACCAACACAAACAAGGCTTAAAACGACAAAAAGACTAAATCATGTTTTCATCCATTTCAATTGGTACCCTCAAAGAAAAACACACACACACACACACCCGAGGCATGTAAACAATTACCAAGGCGGATATCCGCACCTATTTATGGTTGGGATCGGCCCTTACTCATCTTCATCTACCCGGGGTTTGAGGATGTGGCCAAAAAAGACAACATAAAGAACAACACGCCATCAAAGTCTAAATGATTTCCATCCATTTCACAAACCCTCCATGACTCGCCGTCTTTCAACTGACCATTTGTGCCGCTCCAGCCTTGGAACTCCTGCGCGAAGGCCGCCAGCCTGGCGCAACACAGCACACCAGCGTCAAAATTGGCTTTTTCGCCCGACAAACATATTTCCGGCAGTGACAAATGATCTATTCCATTCAAACCCAAAATTGGGAAGAGAACATATATTCTGGAAGGCAAATGGAATATGATGTTCCACATTCGCCCTAAATCATGAAATCTGTTTGCGGAAGGCACCAGCTAAGCGGGCACGTCTATAAATCAACCAGGAAAAGATATAAATCCTGGGTTCCCATTGGGCCACTGCCGTTGAAACTCCCTGCAATGGCATTCCACGGTTCTCCTATTTGGGTCCATGTCAAGCAGATCCGTCCAAATTCCTTCTTTCTATGAATCGTAAAAGTTGAAAGGGGGGTTGGAAGACGACCATCCTCTTGAAAGGCCTCTTGTCCGCTTCCATAAATGCCACAAGGGCAACCCCAAGTCTCTGCAACTGCAACATAATTCTAGAGTGCCCCAGCTTTTGCCCCACCAAAAACACGTCTTTTTCTTCTGGTCCACATTGAGTGAACCTCAGGATGAGAAACACATCAACCGAATCAGCTCAGGCAAGCAGTGATGCCTGGTCAGCTTCACCATGAGCACCGACCTCAGAAACCGCGGCGAAGCTCAGAGAGGAAGGCGGGCTTCTTGAACAGCCCACATTGCCAATGTTCAGCCCTAAGCATCTCAGTCAAGGGCAATCATGTTTAAAAAACACAAAAACTATGTTGGCGCCCGCTGACCAAATACATAATAATTCCCGTAAGGGATGCCCAATTGCTTCGTTTGCCCCAAAATCGGGGAGCTCACCGTCAAATCAGCAGGTCTGGGTGTGTCTTTCTTAAGGCACCCACAGCCCCCCCCAAAAGAAAAATAATAAAAGGTGAATTTCCGTTTGGTTCTCCTTGAAAACCACGAGAAAGGCGTACCCTGAGAGGTCCCATCCATGTCAATCTAATTTGGGGCGAAGTCTCAGGCTGCAGCTTGGACCCTGCGAACTTCTTCTGCACATTTTCGCACACCTGGCGAGACCCGGCCCGGCCCAGAGTGACATGAGCTCTCCAAAGGACCTTTGGAGGTACTCTTGGAATTTGGCAAATATGGCAACCGGCTGGTTTCAAAAGACCTTCAAGCAAACAACCCCTCCTCTTCAAAACACGGCAGCACCCTGCTTTTTCGGCGGTAATGTACACGTTCGCTACCATGATGCATGCGGTGTCTTCTGTGCAACACCGCAGCACTTGCCCTGTTGGCCGGTTCGCTCATTGCGACTCATCCTTGTGGCACCACCCAAGGACATCTCAGCGCAAGCTGTGCGAAGCTCTCTTTGTACTTGTGCGAGTTCCAGGGGATCTCTTGCCCCCCCTCGAAGAACACCAGGTGGTACTTTGTGCGCGCCACATCCTGCTCCTCCTCGCGTGGCCGCTTACGGCTGGCGGAAGCCGGCGGCGGGCTTGGCCCCCCCCTCTCCTCCGCCGCCTTCCGGGCGCGCTCCTTGGCAGCGCCGCGCCTCAGCTCCTTTTGAGCTGCAAGGCGCTGCTTGCTTTCATGGGCCTGCAGGATCTTCGTGCATGCTGCCAGGTTCGCCGCCTTGCTGTGCTGCTTGGCATATTCCTTGGCAGAGAAGCCTTTCATATCCCGGTGCAGCGTGCTGGCCTTCAAATGCGAGCACAGCAGCGTCACCATCTCCTTGAGGCCGAGGTTGGCAGCATAAAAGAGGCAGGTTTGCCCAATTTTGTCCTGCGCATCCACATACGCGCCATTTTCCACGAGCAGCTTCACCTTCTGCGGGTCATTCTCCTTGACAGCCCGAAAGATTGGCGTCTGCCCAAGCTGGTCCTGCTGCTGTGGGTCGCATCCCAACTCCAAAGCATAGGCAGCTGCCCCGCCAGTCGCTGAGAAGAGCAGGCTCTTGCCATTCTTGGCCAGAATCTTGGGGTCCGCGCCCTTCTCCACCAGGAACTGCATCATGTTGACCCTGTCATCATGTGCAGCCCAAAATACAGGCGTGTAGCCATTGCTGTCGGCGGCGTTCAAATCTGCGCCCCGGGTCAGCAACAGCTGTGACAACTCCACGTGCCCACGGCACGAGGAGTAGAACAGCGCCGATTGATGTGCCTGATCCTTGTGATCAACTTTGCAGCCCTGCCTTAGCAGGAATTCGCAGAGCTGAATGTTCCCAGCCTTTGCTGCTGGAAACATGGCTGTGCGGTGGCTCTTGTCCTCTTGTGTCGCCTTTACGCCGTGGCTGACCAAGAGCTTAGCGATGCGCAGCGCCTGCGCGTGGTTCCCATGCAAACCCACCTCATGGAGCAGTGTGCCGCCTACGGAGGTCGTCTGCGTGGGGTTGCACCCGTGCTGTTCAATGAGGTCTTGCACGACCTCGGCAGTGTGCTTTTTGACAGCTTGCAGCAGAACGGCGTTAACAAGCTCTTGCGCCGCTTGCGCCATGGCAAGGGGCACTTCACCTTTGCCCAAAACTTGGGCCGAATCCTTTTTGTGATGGCTCTTGGTATCGCACGTCCTTTTCATGGGGGCACTCTTCTTGAGTCTGCCCCAAAAACCGAAAAACCTACCCCTCTCCAAACAAAGAAACATGCCTTGGCCTTGTGGCAATCTCACTACGTGGTTCCTGCGCAAAGCCAACGGGACATATGTGCAGGGAAGGCACTTTTCGGCTTCCGTATAACCCTTCATTTCGCTTTTCCCCGAAAAGACGCGTCCGAGGTGAGCGACTTGACCTCTTCTGAGAAGCCCGGAGGCCGAGAGAGTCTCACTGGCCCAAAGGACCTGGACAAAAATAAACCTGGAAGAATCGGACCTGGCCTGGAACAAATAAACCTTGTGTACCCACGACGAAGCATGGCCAAGCAGACCTCCCAAGCCACGAAAGTGATTGCCGGGCCCCGGCCTTCAGGAGGATCAGCATGGCCGGCAGCGGGCCCACCTCCTCGTTGGCCATGGCCTCTGCCGCTGCAGCGGGCGCCGCGGGGGTTAGCGGTTTTTGACCACACCCACGTTGGTGGCTATGGGTCGAAACCCCGTGACCCCAGTGAACATCCCAATCCAACCAATCAAATCGGTTCTAAAATGGGTGGTGAATTCACCGACCCCAAAATGGTGCCATTGGTTTTGGCCCACAGCCATTTGTTTGACAACAATGGCCTCGTTGCCTTCCCCCAAACACGGGGCTTTGTTTGACACAATTTGCAACCAACGCCCACCTTACTCTCGCTTCTAACCGACGTCACTCCAACGACAAGCCACAACCCACAAGGAAGCCTTGGCCAACCCTCCCGCCTTCTGCAAGAACTGCCGGGCGTTTTGGAAGGCGAAGGCCGGCTGCTGGTCGATGCCTCAAATTACGGCAGGCACGCCCCAACTGAAAGGCGCTCCACATGCCCAGGCAATGCCAGTTTTTATGGATGCCCCTTAAACCAAAGGCAGCCAAGCATGAAACCATGGTAAACTTCAGTGAATGTAAGTATTTCCTTGCTCCCCTCCTTGCCGTATTAGGGCAGCCACCGCAAGGGATCTTTCCCGTTTCTCTTTTTTGCATGCAAAGGCATTCCGCAGATCTGCCCTTTGCCCGTTTCGCGCCCTCGGGCAAAGCCGAACTACAGAGCACCTCCCAAATACGTTGGTTGGTCCCAAATATGTTGGTTGGTGAGCAACATCACTTTGCTCATGCTTATCAGATTTGCTTTTCTGGGAAACCAAAGGGTTCCACCTTGTTTGTTCGCAGGGTTGCCGCTGGGAGACAAACCATGACAAACCATGAGCCACTCACGCCTGGCTACTTGTTGGACAATTCCTCCAAATAAAACGTAGCCAGCCCCCTAGGACTGATCTAAGAAGCCCATGGAGGGGAGGCGGGAGACATGTCGCCGCACCTCCGCTTGCGTTGCCGGTTAATTCAAGCTTTAACAGGTGACCACCCAACATGGTTCCCTCTAGCCGTGTTTCCCTTGAAAACCACCCCAGATTGCCGTAAACCAGACCTGGGCCGAAGCGCTCGCCCTCTCACCCCGGAGTGAGTCCCCGTCCATCCGCGGCGAGGTACTTGGAGAGCGCCAGGCGCTGAGTGTCCTGGCGAGTCCGGGTGGGAATGAACCGTGGGGCTTCCCTCGAAGGAAACCACCAGGATTGATAGGGGTCATTCCCTCATTCCTTCGGGGGTTCCCCCGAAGAATTGAAGGACACCACAGGATGGCTTTTTTCAGAACAGGTCACCCTGAGCGTGCGTTTGTTTCTCTCATGTTGTTTTCCTTTTTTTGAGTTTATCTTGATTCTTTCAGGAAACACATAGTTTTTGGCATATCTGTTGAAAAAAGTGTGAACACCTTGCGAAAACCGCAGACACCAAACAACAAAAAACAACACACAAACAAAACAAGACTATGTCAGCTGTCCTGACTTGGGGGGGGGGGGAGTCTTGTTTCTTTTGGCGTTCTCGAGTTTTGTGCATTTCTTTGGAATAGTGTGACGAACCTCGATAAAACCAACAAAAACACCAAACAAACCAAGCCTATGTCAGCTGTCCTGACTTGGGGGGGTATAATCCGCCGACGCCAGTCGAGCGTGTAGATGGCAGTCCGCAACTTGGTCTTCCTTCGGATCTCTTATCAAAGCCGAAGGCTTTTGGGGCTGCCATGTTTTGGGCATGTGTGCTGGGTGTCCAAAACCCTGCAATTTTCCACTGTTTTCGGGCTTGCGTGCTAAAAACCTGCGTTTCGCCTAGGTCTCTGGGGGGGGGGGTTCCCCCGGACGCGCAGGATCTGCATCCCCAGCATCATCAGGATTACCTTGCTGCTATGAATTTGTCTCTTCTTTTGCAGATACTAATGGTGTTTTGCTGTTTCAAGCGATGTTGGAAGCGGCCTGTTAGGAGTCTGGTGGGGCCAAGTGCAGTGATACGTTGAGGAAGTGTTTGAATTTGCAAAAATGAGTGTTTCTTGCAATTCCCCACCTGTACGGAGCAGTTACTGCGAAACATCCCCTGCATTATCGTGTTTTTGGAAGTCTATTTCTAGGGTATTTGAAGGGGGTTGCTAGTACCGGCTTTTGATTGTTGATTTTTGGAAATCAAACTTTTTTGTGGCCAGTCGGCTGCATTCCCAGCATTCCCGGCATCTCTGGTATTTTCTGTGTTTGGTCATTTTTTCGCCCTTGCATTTCCGGCATGTTTTTATAGGGAAATGTCTGTAAACTGGCAAATTCCGATCTTCTATCATCTGGTGCCAACAAGCAAGACTTCCCGGAAAAAATAAAAATGGTCTTAAAATCCCTTGCACCCCACTGGCGTCGGCGGATCGCGTAGCGATTTCAATATCTTTTGTTTTGGTTGTCTCGAGTTGTTTTTTTGCACTGTACCGTTTCCGGCCAGTTTGCAAGAGCTTCTGTGATCAAGTGTGCTGGTGTACTTCACCTCCAAGCCCTAGTACAGTAAGTTTGAGATGGTTTCCTCTGGTTGAACCCGCTCCTTGTTACATTCTTAATTTCATTTAGAATTGTACACGTATCACATGACAAACATATTAAGTAGAGTTTGCAAGAAAGAACGTAGAGGTCAATTGTTAGAAACATGTTGTTTAAGTGCAAAAACATTTCGATTGGAAAGGAGATCTTGTCCAACATGTTTTTTGTGAATTAGAATACTAATTATTCAATCTATACTTCAAGCTTAAATTGTTTAGACCAAAACTTAGCCTCTATCTCTGTGGAGGTTAAAACCGGCCAATAGTCATGTAACAAACCACGTCACTCTTCATGTAAGTATTCATATAAACAAAAACAGGCCTTAAAGAAACACGTAAAAGATCATGTAAACAATGTGTGCCTCAGTGTTGGAAGCTGGGAGCTGCATCATTTGCCATGTAACAGGCCTGAACAGAGATAAAAGGCGCACAATCAGACAAGCCAATGGCAAAACATTGGCACAAAGAAGGTAAGGGAAGGTAAGGCTCCAACGCGCCCCTCCCATCTCCATAACAAGCGCCCAAGGTGTTGATTGAATGATAATTGTTAAATCCTTAGCAGCTGCCGTGCGAATGTTAGGAGGCCAAACATCTTAAGTCTTAAACACGTGGTTGGTAAGCCTAAGCATGCGTGAGCAGAAGCAAGAGCAATTCCTGAGCATGCTGTTGCAATCTTCGGAATGGTTCCTAGGTACGCAGCTCCAATGTCTCCGAACGGTTCAGAACGGTTCAGGGTATGATGCTGCAATCCCTCCTGAACGGTTCAGCACGGTTCAGGGCATGCTGCTTGCAATTCTTCCTGAACGGTTCAGAACGGTTCAGGGTATGCTGCTGCAATGACTGCTGAACGGTTCAGAACGGTTCATAGTATGATGCTGCAATCCCTCCTGAACGGTTCAGAACGGTTCCTGGGAAGCTTGAGTGACGAACGGTTCAGAACGGTTCAGAACGGTTCTGAACTATACGCCTGCTCTGTGCGCTGCTTGCTAGATGGGCTCCAGAACGGTTCAGAACGGTTCAGGGGCATGGGTTCCAATGCCTCCGGAACGGTTCAGAACGGTTCAGGGGCACGCGTTCCAATGCTTTCGGAACGGTTCAGAACGGTTCAGGGGCATGCAGTTTGGTTGCCACCGTTCCTCGGAACGGTTCGTGCTGGCGGTTCCTAGTCCTAGGTAAAAGGTCAGGCCGGCATCGGAACATCGCAAGCGATCCGAAATCTCAAAGCACAAAAAGGCAAAGACTTGTCTCAAATTTACGCGAAAATTTACGCAACCATTTACGCAGAAAAAGGCTGGCTGAACCGTTCTGAACCGTTCAGGGGACACATTTTGAGCATGGAGGTCCGTCCGCAGAACTTGCGTGCACATGTGACAGCATCGATCGCTCCTCTTTTCCGGCCTTTGCTCAACTGGGTTTCTGGAATCGGTTCTTGGATTCCCTGGGTCTTGCGGACAAACGAGGCGAAGCCGCGGCAAAGAAAAACAAACAAAAAACAACGCGCGACAGTACCACAACTCGGCAAGCAAAGCTGCAAGAAGGCAAGGCTTAAAATCATCCTTTGCAACTCCTGACTGGTTGGATCAGCGGCCACGCGGACACAACCTCGTAGAGTCGTGTGTGCATGTGTGTGTTTGTGTGTGTGGGTGGTGTCTGTGTGTCTGTGCGCCAGGTGCATGTTAGGAATATAGACGTTAATCTTGATGTTCTTCAAGATTGGCCCTCGCAAGGTCGCCCAACAAAAAGCTGACTAAGTCTTGATTGTTGGAAAGCGCCCTCAAATATTCTTAATGTTGTTCACGCAGCTGACATAACCAATGACCGGACATACCGGACGTTCTTTGACAAGACGCAGTGTTCCTAGTCCTCGGTTCCTACAACATCTCCTTTCTCATGATCACTAAACACAAATTGACATGTATCTTGGTGGGGGTTCTGGCTGCTTATTAGCATGGCAACGCAACCCAAGCGCAAGCATGGGCGCACGCGCTTTTGCGTCCGGAGCTTTTTGGCTTTGCCAACGCGACACATGCTCGCGAGCAAAAACTGTGGCTCGCAGCTACCAGTACGCATGAACATTCATGTCAAAGTTGTCGCGGATCTTCCAATGGTTCATGACGCATGACGCTTTGCCTTCCTTCAGTGATATATGAGCAGGTTAAATTCGCGAAGGGGAAGATTCTCGCCAATACACATCCCTGTCAATGAGGGACACTAAGTCCAGCTCACGCAGGGTCACTCAAGATCGGGCAAGCCAAAATAAGTTACAACTAATTTACCTCACTATTTACCATATTATTTACGGACTCTTCCTATTAAGGGCCAGGCCAACCAGAAAGCTTGATTTATTTACGTGATTGTTTACGCTTTTATTTTCGGGTACGGCGAAAACGACAGACACCCCTATTTATAGAGGCTAAGTTTTGGTTTAATAAATTGTTGTTTGGATTATGTCCTGATCAAATTCTATTTTATGTGAGATAGGTATTCAGTAGAACTTGATGAACATATCAAGTAGAATTCACAAGGAAAGACACCAGAGATACCGATAATGTTTAATGCATGTTGTTTAGACGCTTACTGATTTGTAAGGGCAACTCTATTGGAAAGGCACTCCCGTGTAGCATGTATTTTGAAATAGAATAATCATAATCTGCAAATCTAATTTAACATGGACAATTTGATTGGAGTCTTCCCTGAACAGGTTCTATTTCAGTTCAGCTAGACATTGAGTAGAATTTTGATAAAAATATTAAGTAGATTTCAGAAGGAAAGAATTCAGAGGTCCCAAAATCGTGTTTGTTGTTTGTTTACTAGCTCTAGCACTACCATGGTCAGAAACACGGTAAAGCACGGTGTTTTGTAGCGTTTTTTCGTACTTGGTTCACATCTCCACCAACGGCCGCTCTCTAAAAGTCAGTTTGAAGTTGAATAGGATTTAAATGGTATTCAACAAGGAAATACTTGATCATAATCCTACTCGATATCACATCTTACACTTAGAATTTAGAGGGAACCCTTTCCCACTAGAACATTACAACTAAGTTAGAGTTGAATCATAACTTGATAAGGAATGAATCCAAACACCACTTCTGTGCTACAACCGAAGCTCCAACATAATGATTCAATTTAACATGATACTTTACACAGCCTGTTCTGCCCAATCGAACTTCTTTACACTTCAGCTAAGACTTGAACAAACATAGTTCAACTTGAGTTTCCACTCAACACGTGAACAAATGCACGCTCACAGCTCTTTTTTTGGGGGTCATGCCAATGACGTCCACTGCTCATTCCCTGCTGAGAACCATCAAGCTTTGACCTGTTGGAGCTCAAACGTATTGGGATCCTTGGGGGAAAAGGTTGTCCAAGTCAATTGTTTGGGTCTTCCCCCGCTAAGGGACACGGATCTGTGAATGGAACTCCAAAAGTCGAAACTCCCCGTGCAGGTCATTTCAGGTCGACTCGCTCTTGGCTTCAAGTGGAGGTCCCTAGACACCATCCTTCTCACAAGGTGAGTTTCCATCACAGTGCGCGAGCCTCCATGCTCTGGTAGGCCTCGTTCAGGAGCCCGCCCTGCTCTCGGTCCTGCGGAGTCTGAGTGACTCCATGTCTCTCCCAAATGGACCATAGATCCGCGGATGTCGACTGAACTTCACATATAGTTGACTTTCACAGCTTCCCAGAGTGAAGATGTCAGATTTCATTAGACTGTGCGAATTCCTGATCATATTGTTACCAGAGCCCAATGGGGCGACTAAGTATCAACCTCCCAAACCGATCTTAGTAAACCTTTTTGGTTGTTTTAACGTTTATTTAAAAACCAAAGGCAAACGGCGACATGCCCCAACATACCCATGCGCCGAGTGCGGTCCGTGTTGCACATGCACGCCAAGCGGGCAAGGGCTCTCGACCTCAGAATGAGAAAGAGGCGAGCACTTACAAAGATCAGGGCGGTCCCTGCAGAAAAGGTGTGCTGTGATTTCCAAGTGAGGAACACCCATGGCCCATGACTACTTATAACTTGAAGGTGGTTTGCCTTAGTGTCACAGTCAGTTGGAAGATCCGGTTCTTGACAACCATGGGGTGGTCCGCGTTTCACTTTGGATTTACTACGACGAAAATGGGTATGCTGAACAAAAAGACAAACCGACATCAGAAAAACCGCGGGAGGCAAAACAATTACAATGGGTCTCAAACTTACTGTTGGAGGTACTCTTGCAAAAGGGGCAACTGGCTGGTTTAAACGAACCTCCCTCCTCTTCACACAAGGCTGTTTGCAGGATCCAATCCTGTTTGTGTCTATGTTGTTGACTGCACCACCCCGCTTTTTCGGCTGCAATGCACAATTGATCTATGCTATAATATAGTAGATGAATTGCGCACAGAAGACACCGCATGTACACATATTATGTATACATGCGGTGTCTTCTGTGCTGTTTGAGCTGCAAGGCGTTGCTTGGTTTCATGGGCCTGCAGGATCTTGGTGCATGCTGCGAGGTTGGCCGCCTTGCTGTGATTTTGCGCGTACTCCTTAGCAGAGCAGCCTTTCATATCCCGGTGCAGCGTGCTGGCCTTCAAATGCGAGCACAGCAGCGTCGCCATCTCCTTGAGGCCGAGGTTGGCCGCATCAGAGAGACATGTCTGCCCAATTTTTGTCCTGTGCATCCACATATGCACCATTTTCCACGAGCAGCTTGACCTTCCGCGGATCCTTGGCAGCCCGAAAGATTGGCGTCTGCCCAAGCTGGTCCTGCTGCTGTGGGTTGCATCCCAACTGCAAAGCATAGGCAGCTGCCCCGCCAGTCGCCGAGAAGAGCAGGCTCTTGCCATTCTTGGCCAGAATCTTGGGGTCCGCGCCCTTCTCCACCAGGAACTTCATCATGTTGACCCTGTCATCATGAGCAGCCCAAAATACAGGCGTGTGGCCATGGCTGTCAGCGGCGTTCAAATCTGCGCCCTGGGTTGCAGCCCTGCCTGAGCAGGAATTCGCAGAGCGGAATGTTCCCAGCCTTTGCTGCTGGAAACATGGCTGTGTGGTGGCTGTTGTCCTCTCGTCTGGCCTGCACGCCGTGGCTGACCAAGAGCTCAGCGATGCGCAACGCCTGCGCATGGTTCCCACGCAAAGCCACCTCAAGGAGCAGCGTGCCGCCCACGGAGGTCGTCTGCGTGGGGTTGCACCCATGCTGTTCAATGAGGTGATGCACGACCTCGGCAGTGTGTTTTTCGACCGCTTGCCGCAGAACAGCGCTCACAAGCTCTTGCGCCGCTTGCACCATGGCAAGGGGCGCCCTTCACCTTTGCCCAAATCTTGGGCCGATCCTGTTGACTGCAGAAAGTCCAGGGCCAGACTGATCCGCTTTGCTGGTTGAAAGGACATAATGCCACAGAACCAAAAGGCAACAAGTTATAAACTGTGAATACTTGTAGGAGGTTCCCAAGGCCGTTGCTTCATATTGAAATGTCGTGGAGATGGTGCTGGCACCAAAGAAACGCGTATGTCTCCTCAAACAAAGGGGTCCGTCATCTGGCTGGCTCTGTTGCTCAAGCCGGCCAAACTGGGGTTCTTTGAAAAAAGACTCAGTCCCTCACGAGTTGCGTAGACCCAACCATTTGGTTTTCCAAAGTGAGGGTTGCCCGTGTCAGGTTCCCGCTGCAAAGCCAACTTGTGGGCGAGCTCTGGCAATCGCGTGGATTTGTGCCAAGGAAATCCCAAACACCATGTAAACAGAGTCCTTTGCATCCCGCGCAAAACAAAACGAGCAGGAACAGAACAAACAAACCAAACAACTACAGGCAGTAATTGTCAATTGTGACTTTGGCACGCGGAACCTACAAAAACATGCCAACCGCATCCGCTTCCGCTTGGTTTCGAACCTCCGGCCGGAGGTTAAAAGCGCGCCACGCGCCGAGAGCTCGCTCCGCTGGATCGCTAAGCACGGGGCTCGATGGAGGAGGAGTCGAAGCTGAGGCCCGCAGTCTTGGCGCTGCGCGCCAGGATGGAGTCGTAGACCACCTCACGGCTAGCGAGCGCTGCGGCCAGCGGCCAGCGGTACCGAGCGGTACCCCATGCCATGCTGATGGTTGTGAAATCCGTACAACGCGCCACTTTGAAGCTATGGTTGAAACCAATTGTTTGTATTTACAGGGGAATCGATTCATTCCAGGGTTTCTTAGGTGGTGCAGGATTGTGTCCATCCACAGTAGCTCCGTGGTATAGGATGGTATAGGTATCCAACTGGAACCTTCTATTTGGGTTGCGCTGTGGGGGGTCCATGATGCAAAGCCTGGAGGTAAGAATCCATGGTTCCCTACCCCAGTGATTCCATTTGACTGTATAGTTGGTAACCAAGGGAATAATCCCATTTGGGCATGGACCGACAAATTGGTGGCTTTTCCTTAAAGTCACCCTAAACAGGATACCCTCAAAAACACACACACACACACACACACACACACACACACACACACACACACACACACACACACTTGAACTCCAGATGGAGAGTGCTAATCTTTCGAGTACAACTGATGAGTCTCGAGTACAACCGACAAGTCTCGAGTATGATGAGTTTCGGCTCTCAATGCACTTGGCTTCCCTCTAGTGTCGAACACGTTACGAGAAAGAACAAGAAGCACAAACAGCGCCGCAACCAAGGGGCCAAAAGGACTTTCAGAATCACTGAAGCAGGTACAGGTGTCCACGTCTGGACACCCTTCCCACCTTTGGCAACAGCTTCATTGCGTGCAGTATGCCAAAGGTGCTGCACGCCCCTGCTGCGAAACCGAAAGGGTGGTGACAGGGCATTCTGTCACTCCGCACACACACGCCCCTCTACGAGGGGCGAGGTTTCTCTTTTCTCCTGCAGGAAGATCACATGCTCAAACTCAAATCACTATCGTTGGCCAAAATATCCACCACGGCGAGGGGAGCGAGACACTGCCCTAAACCGCTCAGAAGACGGGAACGAAAGTTCACAACGTTGAGCATTACGAGTGTCGCCATAGAGGACTGAAGCGATCTGCGAAGCAGCCGGGCGATCACCATGAGAAAACGGAGTGGCATAGGTGAAGGTCTCCTCAACTTGAACGGCATCGGAGTTCCGACCTTGACCAAGAGTCTGATCATGTGAACAGTGAGTTGCGAAGGACTCAATCCGAGACAGAATGCGCTGGTACCCTTGGTGTTGCCAGTCACGGATGTCCCATGCCTGGACTGGCGCTTCGGGATCCGTCACCCGCTGCCATTCACGAAAAGAGTTTTCAGGTAGATCAGGTACGGCGTCACCACGGTGCCATCGTTGAGGTTGTCCCGGAGTGTAAATCCGCACCCACTCCTGATCATGCCAGACCGAATATTCGAGCCATGGATACTGCTTGGAATCATCGATGTCCATGTCGAGGCAAGAGGCAAGGATGGTCGCGGGCTCCGATCCAGCTAGTAGGTGGACAAGCACCATGCACAACCATGTTCAAACAACAGCAAAGCAAGATCATGCAAGTGTAGAGGTCACCCTTATTTTGTACCCTGCGCTGCTCATGCAAGGCTAGTCATCAGTGAGCTCGAAGACGGGCCTCATCTTGTCTTGGCCGCTACCGGACGGATTCACGGGCGTCTATAGGGGTCGGAGACCCCAATCGTCTCCGATGGTGTGTTGCCACGCGATGCACGTACTGGTTGATGAGGATGAGAGGTCAGACGTGCGCGGGCCGTCAGTTGTTGAGAAATCCCCTCCTGGAGACGAATCAGTTCCTCAGTGGAGAAATCAGCCGCATCCGAGGACCTGAGAATCGCGTCTAACAGCTCCGGCGACATACTCAACGACGCAGACTGCGTGGCCACGTTATGGTGATCGGAGGGATACATGGAATCAAATTCATGACCGGCGTGAGGAGCAGCGATTCTCCGATAGCCCTCCGTGGCCCAGTCTCGCTTGTACCACGTAGTGACTTGGACTTGCCCTTCAACTGAGTCCTGGTTGGGAGCATAGAACTCCCGCCATTCTCTGAAAGTATGCGGAGGAGGTGGAGCATCCTGTTCTTCCTGAGGCGTCCATGGTCCCGGATGAAAGATCTTGACCCACTGGGCATCAGGTTGTTGAGGGTCCGGGCACCATTCCAGCCACGGCATGACAACGCAACCACGGAAAGTCAAGTTGATAGGTGTACGGCTGCAGACAACAACGAGTGAAAGCAAATCAACAATCAAAACGCAAAAGACCACTTTTGTAGCACTGTGCGGCGCCAACATCACAGTCAGACTCTCCAGGGAGGCGAGGACGGGCATCAGCTATCATGTGAATTGGATGATGCCGAAGAGGAGGTCATTCCAGCATACATGAGGTCCGGCGCACCCGAAGCGAAAACTGGCCTCGCTATGCTGGGATGTGGACGACCCAGGCGTTGGTACCCTCTGGTGACCCAGTCCCTGTAATACCAAGTGTAGAAAGTGGCGTGGGATACCGGTTGCAGAGCCGTGCCTATAGTTGTGCCGCCAGTGCTTTCCCTGGGCCAGTACACTTCGAAGTGGTAGACCTTGCGCCATTCCCGATAGGCGGTCGGGTCATCCGGGGCCGGTCCCAGGGTGTCAGGGGCTACTGGATGCCACTGACCCGGCACATAGATTCGAATCCATTCCACACTCGTTCCTGCTGGTCCATTGACGATGTCATAGTCAAAATAGCGAGGTAGGATCCATCCTGCTGCACCCTGCACCGTACTATTGAACATTTCAACCCGACAAGCTGCTCAAAGTTATCACAGAGAGCGGCGGACACATGGAGACAACATGCACAGCACCAAGCAAGACAACCCAATGAGAACTCACATTCAAAGCACGCACAACCTCATCTTTATCCAACATGCAACTCAAGAGTCAATCCGAATTATTCCAAGGATCATGGAATGGTGGCGGTGACGGTTCCCGCCACGCTCCATCAGGTACCGACGAGCCCACCGAGGACTCGATGTCTGCGTTGGCGAGCATCGCGAGTCCGATGGATTGGACAGGAGGTCCAAGTCGTTGGTACCCTCGCGTTTGCCAGTCTCGGTACTCCCACACGTGATAGGACACATAGGCACTGGGCGTGGCAATAGGATCCATTGTGGTGCCTCCGGTGCTGTCTTCAGACCAGTACACTTGGAAGTGGTATGATCTGCGCCACTCCCGAAATGTGGAAGCGTAAAGTGGGTCCGGAACTGGCGCTTCCTCCGGAACGGGCCTCCAAATGCCCGGAGAGTAAATTCGAATCCATTCCACTCCTCTGTCGATCTGGTACTCGAAATGCTGGGGGTTCACAGCAGCAATACGGGCTTGCACGACTGCTAAACAAATCGAAAATCTGCGGCAAGGACACACATGCATTGCCAACCGCACACATCCACTGAGGAGCAAGGCAACTTTTCAAACACAAGGTGAAACGGGTCAGCGAGGTCTGAAATGTCTGAAACCTGGCTTTCACTGTCTTTGATGTCGCGCACACCTGCAATGATAGTGACCTGGTCGTCTACGTGCACAAGGGGAAAGACATTTCCGTCCATGGCGCAGGATGGCGTGACAGTAATGTTTGCATGTTGCCGATGGGGATCGCGATGAACGGCCAGCACGTTTGGAATAAAACACTGTAAAGGGCCGTCGAGATCGCCTCGGCGCTGAAGCTGATGCTGTCCGAGATCGTTTGGACGAGCGCCCTGGACTGCGTGGTACTTCATCACGGGAAGGGTCAGTGCTGTAGATCGAGCGGCGTGTGCGCTGCGATTTCAAAGAGGTAGGGCAGGATTGTCCGCGAGGGGCTGAGATCGAGGTGCTGCGTATCGAGGGCATAAACTGGGGGTGTAGAATCACCGGTGGTGGTGGTGGTGGTGGTGGAGGAGGTGGGAGAAGCAGTGGCAGACTTGGCGGGGGCGGAGGCGACGTAGTCAGCCGAATGGGTCTGTCGAGTAGAGCCCCGGGTCCATGAAATTGTAACCACGTCGGCTGCGCTCCATGGGTCCAGGTAATGTACGTCTGTACAACTTGTTCTGACATGATTTGAGCAACTCAGGAAAGACATCACTGCATGTCAACGACATTTCGCAACACGACAAGCAAGATTGAGTCACGTGCAAGCAAGCAAGTATCATGTGATCAACAACTCAAACCGGACACACCGCCGCCGCTTATCATTTGGTCCATCAATGGTCGCTGCTGCATTTGCCGGGCTTGTTCCTAGCCGCGAGCCTCAAGTTGTTGATAGACCTTCCATGCCTGCTTCACTTCCTCAATCGGCTTCTGAAGAAACCGCGCAATGGTCTTATAGGTGGGTCTGGAATCCTTATCTT